GGCTTGGCCGTGGAGCTCTGCGTGGAGCCGTACTGCATCCTGGAGGTCGGCACCGTGGTGTTGCCCGTCATGGAGCTGGAGGTTCTCGTGGCAATGGCGCTCGGCAACATGGAGCTCGTGGGCCTGCCCCTGGGGCTCATCGGCGCCCGTGCGCAGGCAAAGGGACCCGCGGGAGGTGCTCGTCGTGATCGGGTGTCGCCTGCCGCGGCCGAGGCGCGGACCATCCTGGTCGCGGCGCCTGGGCCTCAAGCTCATCCTCACGCCTGGCAGCGGGGTCGCGATGGCCTGTGCGTGCGAGCTGCTGGACGAAAGCACCCCTGCCTCTCTCATTGTCCGTGTCGAGGGCCTCGAGTTCGCGTACGAGCTCACCGAGACCGACATGGCGAAGGTCTTCGGAAGGTTTGGGGATGTCCGCTCGGTGACCGTCGGCCCCGACGGCACCGACGCCATTGTGCAGCTCGCTTCGAGGCTTCGCTGCGCGGGGAGCTGGCCCTGGCCGCCAAGGAAGCCGCCGCCATGGAGGACCCGCCCGAGGCCCAGTCGGCGCGCGGCCTGCCGTCTGGGCGGGAAGCCTTGACCATCCCCCTAGGCCCTAGACGTGATCGCCGCCGCCGTGTGCGTCGGGAGCCACGCGCGTCGGCGCGACGGCGGCAGGCCCACCCCGCAGCGGCCACCGCGCCAGCGGCCGAGCAGGGCGGCCAAGACGGCGCGGCTCGCAATCGCTCAGCAGGCGGTTGCGCGTCGGCCAGCTGGTGACCCGCCGACCGCCGCGGCCGACCCGCCGCTCGCCGCGATCCACCCGCCGACAACCGCGGCTGACCCGCCGTCCGCCGCGGTCCACCCGCCGCCTGCCGCGGCGGCGGCAGGGGATGACTTAAAAATCCTGAGGTCACCCCCCTTGGCGGCTGCTGCCGGAGGCCCCGTCCGTGGAGGCGAGGACCGCGCGGAGCAAGACCCCGAGGGCGCGAGTAGACAGCAGGGCTGGGTCAGCGTTGGGCCAGGGCCCTGCGTCCAGTCGGGTGGGGGACGAGGGCTCCGCGACATGCAGCATGAGCGAGATGCTGCGAAGCCCCCCGGGGGACACGCTGGGCTCGCAGGCGGAGGAAGCCAGCTGTGCAGCCGCCCGGAGGGGGGCGCGGGCACGGGGACGCCCGAGGCCGCCGCCGCGGGGCGGCTGCCAGGCGACGTGGACTGCCAGCAGCAGCGAGCGTGGTGCGCGTGCCCTGTCCCTCCGAGGCTGGTTGGAAGGCCTGCTGGGCGCGGCTCGGACAGCTCGGCCGACGGTCCCGCGGGGGCCGTCGGAGGTCCGTCCTCGGGGCCTGGGTGCTCCATCACTGCGCCTGGCGTCTCGGCTGGCGTGGAGGGGCGGTCGGCCGCTACGGGTCCTGTTGGCCTCAGACGGCAGGGCCAGTGACGACCGACCGCCCGCTCGGCGTCTTAGGCCATCCCTCGTCGCCGGCTTTGGGGGGGAGGCCCGAGGACTCCCTCTGTCCAAGGGCCCGCGGGCCCCAAGGGGTGTTCATGAACAGTGCAGCCGGATTGAGAGCGCCGCTCCCCGACCTCACTAAAAGCAGAGCCTGATCACCATCACCATCACCACCACCATCACCACCACCATCACCATCACGACCATCACCACCACCATCACCACCACCATCACCATCACCACCACCACCGTCACCACCACCACCACCATCACCATCACCATCACCGTTGCCATTACCATCACCATCATCATCATCATCCTCCTCCTCATCCTCCTCCTCATCCTCGTCATCAGCAGCAGGAGCAGAAGCATCATCATCATCACCATCATCTTCATCATCAGCATCATCATACTCATCATCAGTATCATCATCATCATCATCATCATCATCATCATCATCATCATCATCATCGTCAGCGTCAGCGTCGCCATCAACATCAGCATCATCGTCATCACCAACATCATCATTCTTCGCCATCAGCAGCAGCATCATCGTCATCACCAACATCATCATTCTTCGCCATCAACATCAGCATCATCGTCATCATCAACATCATCATTTCTTATCATCGCCATCATAACAAACATCATCACCATCATCATCACAATCATCATCATTATCCGGATCCTCATCCTTGTCTTCATCCCAATCCTCATCCTAATCCGACTTCTCACTCACATCCTGATCCTCCTCCTCATCCTCATACTGATCATTGTCGTTAGCATCATCACCACCACAACCACCACCAGCATCGTCATCATCAGCATCATCATCATTATCATGATCAGCATCATCATCATCATCATCATCAACATCAGCATCGTTATCGTCGTCATCATCATCATCAGCATCAATATCAGCATCATCATCATCATCGTGAACGTCATCATGATCATCATCATCATTACCACCACCATCACAACCATCATTATCACCACCAGCACCATTATCGTTATCGTCATCATCATCATCAAAATCGCCCACACATCCACCACCACCACCATCGCCATCATCATCATCATCATCATCATCATCATCATCACCATCATCACCATCATCGCCATCATCATCGTCATCATCATCACCACCATCAACATCACCACCATCAACATCACCACCGTCATCATCATCACCATCATCATCACCACCATATTCATCATCCTCATCATCATCGACAGCATCATCATCATCATCATCATCCTCATCCTCATCAGCATCATCATCAGAAACAACACCATCGTCTTCACCATCACCATCACCAGCACCATCAGCATCACCACCATCATCACCATCATCACCATCATCACCATCATCATCACCGTCATCATCATCAGCATCACCATCATCATCACCATACTCATCATCACCATAATCATGCTCACAATCATAATCCAAATGTTAATCAGCATCATCAGTACCATCAATATTATTATTATCATCATCATCATCATCATCAACATCACCCCCAACATTATCGTACTTCTCATACCCATCATCACGGCTCTCGAGCCTGGGGACACGAAATGTCACACGTGACGGCCTTCCGTGCCCCCTCGAACACTCGCCACCCAGAAAACTGTGCTGGCGCTTTGGTGGGACTTGCCACAGGCAGCTTGTTATTTGCAGAGCGATGGGGACAGAAAACTAGAAAGAGAGGGAGAGAGAGAGGGAGAGAGAGAGAGAGAGAGATAGAGAAACAACAAAAACAGAAGGATACATCCCCGATGTCCATCCCGGAGGCGGGCCATCCAGAATTGCGAACGCACGCCCGGTGAAGAAAAGATCCCCTTCAGGGACCCCTCTCTGATCCGCCACCGTGCTCTCAGATCGTAGTGGAGTGCCCCAAGGCTCATGCAGTGCTGAGAAGTTCAGAGTTGTATACGTCGTTCACTTCTAATCGTGCTCACTTCTAATTGTGCTTGTTTCTAATTGTTACTGGCCCCCTAGTGGCTAGGAAAAGGCCCAGGATAGAACAATTAGAAACGAAAGGATCTTGGCTCCCCAAAATCAAAGAACTTTCGAATCATTCGAAATGAACAATGTGTAGATTTGTATACGATCTTTTCAAGGCTAGGGCCCGGGGCCGCCAATTTCACACGGATTTCCGGAAGTTCCCCAGAATTTCCGGGGATTTCAAAGGATGGAGAATTGACTATGATTTCAGGGGATTTCCTGGGCGTGTCACGTGCGTCCTCCAGTAGCGCAGCCATCCACATATGGGCCCAAAAAGCGACCAAGAGGGCCGACGATGCCTCCGAGAAAACCCAAGAGTGCCCCACTACGCCTGAGATGGCCTCAACACGGCCCAAGAGCCCCCCTAAACGTCCCCAGAGTGTTCCAGGAGGCGTCCCAAAAGGATCCCAAGAGGCAAGCATCATTGATTTTCAAACGGTTTTTTAAGGTTTCTGGCCTTCTCGCCTGTTCGGCTTTCAGACGCTCCAAGACGGCCAACGAGGCCCCCAAGATCGCCCCACGTCGGCCCCAGAGGCACCCAAGAGGGCCCTAAGATGGCCCAAGGGGGCCCCAAGACGGCCCAAGAGGCGCCCAAGGCGGCCCGAAGACGACCACAAGAGGGGGCCCAGATGGGGAACTCGAATGACGTTTCGAGCCCTCGGCCCCGAGGGGCCCCCAGGAGGCCCCAAGAGGTTCCTAAGAGGCCCACAAGAGGCCCCAAGAGGCTCCCAAGAGGCTCCAAGAGGCTTCCAAGAGGCCCCCAAGAGGCTGCCAAGAGGCCCCCAAACTGTTCCCATACGGCCCCCGAAAACGCCCCGAAGAAGCATCCCTGAGAGCTCTGACCCGGGCCAAAAAACCGCACCCCCTGGGTTGTCAGGCGGTGGCCGGGGCTGTCCCGTGTCCCGTCGTTGTCCTGCCGGTGTCCCGTACTGAGATCGATAATGAGATCGAAAGTCAGACCGATAGTCAGACCGATAGTGAGATCGATTGTGAGGTCGATCGTGAGACCGATAGTGATATCGATAGTGAGATCGATCGTGAGATCGATAGTGAGATCGATAGTGGGATCGATAGTGGGACCGATCGTCAGATCGATAGTGAGAGACATATCGTGAGATCGATCGAGTGAGATGTTCATTCCTCCCCCAGACCTCCTTATCACCCAAAGGGGGGTCGTATAGGTACACATGGGCATGATATAGTATATGATACATAGAAAGAGAGAGAGGGAGAGAGAGAGAGAGAGAGAGGGAGAGGAAGAGAGAGAGAGAACAAGAGAGATAGAGAGAAATGGACTCACATACACACATAGAGAGAACGCGAGAGGGAGAGAGAGAGAGAGAGAGAGAGACAGAACGAGAGAGATAGAGAGAAAGAGAGAGAGAGAGAGAGATGAGAAGACGGAGAGACATGGGGGAGGAGGACAGGGGAGGATGCGGAGAGGATCGGGGGGGGGGAAGGATGAAGGAAGGACGCTCACCCACACATGCAGAGAGGGATATGGAGAGGCGCCAGGGGTGCACGCGCGCGCGCGAGGCGCCAGGGGCACAGCGCGGCGTCCTGTGCCCGGATCGGCGTCCTTGACGTAGCACCGCTGCCCCGGCTCGGCGCAACACGCCGACGCCTCGGCAGGCGCCGGGGCGGGGGCAGGGGCCGCGGCACCGCGCCGACGGCGCGGCCGATGCCTCCTCCCCGTCCTCCCGGATCTCCTCGCCCTCCTCCTCGCCCTCCTCCTCGTCCTCTCCTTGCCGCCGTCTTCGGGCAAGTCCGCGCTCGGACCGCCCGCCTGTCCGGGCCGCGCGCTCCGGGCCCGGGCCCCTACCCCACCCACAGGAGGGCCCCCTCACGCAGAACGCGGGGGGGCGCCCGGCCTTGGGCCCCAGGGAGGGGTCCAACTGGCGGCCCCCCCAGCACGTGAACTGTGCCGCGCGCGGGCGGCGACCCCCAGCAGCCCCCTCCTCCTCCTCCTCCTCCTCCTCCTCCTCCTCCTCCTCCTCCTCCTCCTCCTCCTCCTCCTCCCATCTTCGCTCCGCGCGCCGCGCGAAGCTCGACCACCTCTGCTCTCTCGAGCCCGCCGTCCGTGGAGATAAGGGGGGCCCATGCGGCCCTGGACGCGAGGCGCGCACGCGCGAACTGCGCCTGGCAGTCGCTCGCCCCTGCGGACGGCCCAGCTTCGGGGGAAGTGCTTCAGGACTGTGATTATGATGTCGTGATGCGATCGGCCCAGGATGCGTTCCAGGAGTCCCAAGAGTATCTATTGGCCCTCGTACCTGCAGCCCGTGCGAAACATTATTCAGGAAATCTTACACAGTCCAATGGACCTGGGAAGCCTCGGAACATATCACACCGACTCGAATGACCCTTTGCGCCCTCTGAAGCATGTTTGGCTCCAGAAGCTATGGAACCACTTTTTTTTTCCGTCGGCGGTGAGGCAGAGTTGGCTACACCAGCGATATGGTCAAACGGGGGCACCGAGA